GTGGCAAAACTTTAAGCTGGACAAAACATTTGAATATGTGGAATTGTAGAGCAACCTGAGTTCTACAAAATGAGACGTAATGCGACTCTGACAAAGATTCCATTTAATTATGACAAATTCAACAATCTTCACGCACTATTACAAGTACTTAAACAGAAAACATATGTTGTAAGTTTTATTCTTTTTTCGGTACTGATCCTTTTTTCCATAAAAATTTCGAATCGTATGAAATAAAACTTGGAACGTTTCTCTATCAAACAAAAAGACGATCTTGAAGTTTGTTTAAGAAATAGCGGAATTATTATGATTTTTTTTCCCACCGGACTTTTGGGACACCCTGTAGAATGTTTAGACGTAGATACGATAACCGTTTAAGGAGTTCCAACTACTGTTGAATCTGTTCTAAAAAAACGGGCTTACAAAAACTGTTTTGAATCACATGTGAATCAACGATTTCCCATGGCTTCACTTGTAAAGAATATATCTCTAACTTTTGTCTTCTAAAACAGCAATATCTAAAGCAGCTACGTATTGCAAGTTGTCATTTATTCTCTTTTTCTTAGAAAGACTTTTTAATGTAAAATTATCTTTTGAGATATTCTAAGTGAAAATATTCTAGTTATGGTGTTAAAATTAAAAAAGGTTAAGATTTTTAAATTAAAAAAAACTAATTGATAATAATTGTATAGCACATTCTACTAACTTCTGTTCATGAACTAGTGCTCGCATGACATCGAATGATTACGTTTCAAAAATTCTTCGATGTATAACAAAAAAGAAATTCTAATATTTAAATAGCTGATAGCCGCTGGAAGTGTCATTTTAATAAGGTGAGTGATTTATTCCAACAGTGACAGCTGTTTTAAAAAACTTTAACAAGTTTTGTAAAGTATGAAAAGAAATTAACATTTACTAGTATAAATAATTTTATATGTGAGAAATGCCATTAAGTTAATGATTGTGTTTCAAGACTTGAAACAGACGATATCACCGTCTATCAGGTTCAAGAAAAACGAAGGACGAGGGCGATTAAGGCACGTTCCCGTACCCAAATATTTTGAAAAAAAAACTATATGGTTAGAATTGGCGTCGAATTCTGAACAAAATGACATATTTAATTTATCATGAAATCGGCTTTTATTTTTTTTGGAAAATTTTTTGGTCTCTCAGGAACATCGAAAAATTTATTTCCCTAGTTAAATTTATGGTGATTTGGTATCGAACAATGATGTTTGAGAACTTTCCAGATCAGTTGGAGATATGCAAAATTAGTCGCTCTTTTCGAATATATTGTTGAAAACTCAGCTAGGAGCGATCAGAGTATCAAAAATTCAATTGCGATTACTGAACATCATTCGATAATAAATCTTGAAACAGTTGAAAACGTATGTTAATTTATTAAGTTGATTCAAAAAAATAATTGTGCAATAACCAAATTTTTTTCATAACATTGTTTTTAAATACATATGTTGTTAGTATTGTTATATTTTTCAACAGGTAGCAAAATAAATACGTAGGGTGAATTTCAATCGATTCTGTGAGGCGCTTTAACCGTTCTTGTTTCCTAGAAACATTGAATTTGTGATCAAAAGAAAAACAAGAAAAATAAATAAATTATCACTGATTGGTTAGGTGAACAGAAAATGTTGAATGATAATCAATAACAATCCGTCACCGATAACTTGTATAAAGAAAATTTTGAAATGTTTCGAGCCCTGCTTTGTTCCTTAGATGCGAAAAATAGATGTTTTCAAATAAGGCTGTGTAAATTTTCTATTATAATTTCTTTATTTTTAAATTGAACATCTACTTTATCTCATTAACCGAAATATATAATCTAATGTGTAAAATACTAGAATTAAATAGTTAAGAATAATAGTTTCAACTTATTTCGGTTCATATTGTTTTGAAACTCTACATGTTTAACAATCGTATATGAACAATTTCGTTTTTCCTTTATCAAAGATAAAATGTTTGAAAGTTATTATTGTATGTAGTAATGTAAAAAACAATGAGCGAAACAGGTTTAAAAGTAAAAATGTATTTTTTTTTTAAATTCAAAACTGCACTTTTTTCCTGTGTATTTTATAATAAAAATTGCTTGTATAATTCTTTATATTTTCAAATAGCCGGACGAACAATAAAGCAAAACAAGAATTAAAAGCATTATATCGTTTTATGAACATTTTATTATTTCAATTTATGGACAAATAACATTTGTACTGCACTTTTAAAACATATTTCTCTTTCATCTCTTGTTAATTCACCACATCGTTTATAAGCTGCAACTAACGGTGACCAATGTGGACGAAATTTTTGTTGTAATGGAACGTTTGAACGTTTAGAATAGGATGTGGGTAGTAGATGATGATACGGTTTTATTTTTGAAATTGTTGTTATCCATCGATAAGGTTGTTCATTTGAATTATCGACATTATCTTTGTCACCTTGATCATAGTCTGTTATTGAATCATCTATTAATTGTGGACTCATATCGGCATCAATGAGCGATGATTCGTTTGGATCAGCAATCTAAAATAAAATAAATAAAACAAGACACATAAAATATTTTATATTGATTATACTAAACATAATTAGATTAGATACTACTTACGAAATCAGAAGATAGATTTTCATTTGGTGAATAGAGTTTAAAAAGCATCACGGTATTAAGAAGTGTAAATGTAAGAATAATATTACATAACAAAATGAATGATATTGAAGCCATTATAAGAGTCCACACATAAAATAAGAAAAAAAAATAAGAATTTATCTACAAAAAAGAAGTTTTACTTGAATAAATCTTAAATAGTTCGTTTATATTTGATAATATTTGAATATTTGTATAAATTAAACAAAAATCAAACAAAATATTTACAATGTTAATAATATTGACATTAGCTAATAGTGAATAAGAGAAAATTAGTTTCTGTTTATTTTTTTTAAAATGATTGTAAAAATTAAATTGAAGAGAATTGTGTTATTCTTTTTTTTTTTGTCTCTTCTCTTTTTTCTTTCAATCTATTTTTGGCGTGAGAATAAGTGTCAATGTGGAATACTCCTAGTGGAAGAGTATGTAGGCGATGACTATAAGAGCATAAAAGAGACACAAACATACCACTGCTTAAATATTTACATGTCAAGAACATATTTTAAGAAAATCTTACAAAAAAAAAATGAAACAATTTATCCAAATAGTTTACAATTAAATACAGAAAAAATAATATAATCTTTTATTTGAAAATTATGCATGCCTTTGATCACACAAAGATGTTTAGTAAAGCAAAAAAGTAAAAAAGGAAATTCATGAAATGTCTAAACTATGATGAGTTTTCTACGAAAAAAATAATAATTAAATAGACTTTTAAGTTTTTACATCAATGTGCTCCCACCTGTAGACTCATTTCCCGAAATACTATGAATTTTTCTAATCTTTTAAATAGAAAACTTATTTTCATAGATAATCCTTTTTTTCATTTATTCACGATTACGAATGAAAATTACAAAAAAAAAGAAATCATAGCAACCTATTAACAATTATTTCTCTAATGCATGGGAGAATACTTTTCAACAACAACAAAAAACAAAAAAAAATAATAATAATAATAATTGTAGTGATGGTTTTTGAGGAGTTTTACGCCTCTCATGAGAATATGATCTATTTGGGCTCATGCAGTGAGAATCGCTCTAGTTCTATTATATCAAGACAGCTAAGAAAGAATGTATGGTTAATTCCATCGTCTGACAGTCATGTAGCAATGTCTTTTGAAAATAAAATTCAATAATAAATTTGTTTATTCGCTGTTCAGTGATCTTAATATGTTTTTATCTTAAACTTACTTAATGTTTTGACTTCATCCACTTGTTAACAACGATTGTTTTAGTACTTAAGCATCTTATATCATAAAATCAGAAGATATGACGTTTCTACTAACTTTTCTTTAATAAAGTACATAAATCATTTATTTTTCTTAGAAAATGTAAAGATAGAGTGACATTTCGGAAATTCTATCAGTGAACTAACAAATATTTTAACTCTATATATATTCTGATAATTTATATTTTCACTACAAAAAGGAGTTACAATTCAACAAAGGAGTACAAATTCATTTACTACTAATGAAAAACTGTTAAATATCGATAAACTACTTGAGTAGAATTTTTATAGTCTAATTTATCCAAAGATACGTTTTTTTTTTTTCTATTATCAACAACATATTGTATCAAAAGTAGAACAAATTCTATATTCATCTTAAACATAAAACTTCATATGATAATATCATACGAAAAAAGAAATGGTGAAATTTTTACTCTTCAAATGAAAGTCATTTTCAATATTTAATAATAATGTTGTTAGCTATAATTTGAACAACCACAAAAAGTCACTGTTATTAAATGAAAAAATAAAATTATTAAAATAAGATGTATGGCAAAAGTATAAATTTTACTCTAATCATATAAACTCTTACGTCTAAGTTTTGATATTTTTCTTGTCAAACAATTTTACCAATAATTCATATAGTATAACAGTTGAAATTTGTTTATATTATATTCAACATCAAGATTATTAGAATATATGGATAATTTGTGTAGGTTCATTTTACATTTGTAACAAGTAAAAATATAAAATAAATTACAGTATTACCCGCGAGGTTTTAATCAAAAACTTCAGAAAAAGAAAAAATCATATCTTTTCTCATTTTATGATGTATTAGTAATAAATGAGTGAATGTAGTTGAAAGTGACGTATCTAATAAAAAAAAACAGAAAATAATTTATTATTTATAGAAATTGAACCATATCATCAACGGATAGCCCTCATACAAAATATATTAAATGCCTAAACTTAATAAAAAGTTAATGAAAATCTGTTTTACAGAAAAAAATCATATTTTAACTTCTGATATGTATGGATAGATAGATATGTTTTTTCTACGATAAAATGTATAACACCAATTATTATACATCCGTTTGATATAATAATGACGATTGATCATTGAACAAATAGAAATAAAAATATCTATCTACCCACAATATTTTATTTTTCTTCTTTAATTTTATAAGAAGAACACAAAAAAAAACTTTTTTTACATATGTTTAAATAATAAAAGGGTTTTTTTTCATCTTTTGTATGGTAAATAGGGTGGACGATTGGGGTGTTTAAAATTTAGATGAACTGAGCCAGTTAATCGTGTATGAATTATTTATCCAAAAAAAGAATAATGGTGTGTGAATAATTCACATGGTTTATAAATGACAATCTTCAAAATGTCTAAATTGTATTCTAATGTCTTTTCTCACTCTCTTTTATCGTTGAAAAACTGGAAATTACAAACACTGATTCGAATTATGATGTATAAATATTTGCATTTTCTAATTATTTTACATATTCCGGTTATAGAACGAACAAAAGACAAAATAATGATGAAAAAAAAAGGGAATAATAAACGAACGCAATTATATAATATTCTCTTTCTCTTAGACAAGTAGATCAGATTTCTAATAATAATAAGAGAGAGAGAGAGATTTTAATATAGATATTTTATTTTTAAATATAAATGTAGTTTATTATTAAATATTTATCCATAATCATGTACTTAATAAAGTGATTATTTTACTACAAATACTTATAGCAGAGTTAATATATATTTGTTTTCATTGATACTTGAAAATATAGACTGAAGTTTACAAATGAATAACTATATATTTTACATAAAAAAAAAAGTTCAAAATTTTATTCTCCTATATTATATTTTGCGATAAATATAATATATACTCTTCTAAACCATTGTCTACCTCCAATGAGAATGTTTAAAAAACATTTAAAAAACAACTTTTACTGCAATAGTTGAGTTATCTAACCAAGTCCAGGGACGTCTATCCCCATCTGAATATTTGATGCATTTTGTACCACCTTGAAGGTTCAATCTCTCAGTGTACCATCTGAAAAATGAATTTCTATAGCAAAAAAGCGTATCAGCTTACGTTGTTTGACACATGGCATCTCAAACGTCCCACAGGATAGACGCCTCTGATCAAGTCATCTTTTGTACTGACATTTTCTATAAGAGCAAGATTTTAGTTTGTATATCGAATTGCTCGTTGACAAGTACCATAAGAGATTATTTTCTGAATATTTAATCGTTTATTTGATGTGCAGCTTCTTCTCAATAATTAGTCACAAAAAAGTCTTTAAGAGTGCATTATACAACAACAACAAAAAAAAAAATTTCGGATTACCGATTCCCGTTCATAAATGCATGCACACACATTTTGCGAAAAACCAACGAAAAATTAACAAGTTTTAGATCGATTATTCTGGATATTTTGATTCGTTTTCTTTTTATGCTTCTTCGAATATTATATTTTGATTTTTATTAAGTTTTTCAAATTTCAGCAAAGAATATTTAAAAACTTTAAATTGAAAACTTTAAGGTCAAAGTTTTTCGACTCCAATTTCTTTTTCCAACATATTGTTAACTTCTAATAGTTCTGTATTGACATCAACTCGAATGCGGTCTGTATGAATAAATTTTTACGCATTGAATGCATAATTTTTGAATAAGAAAAAAAAACTAGTATATTTTCGTACAAATAAACAAGAAACTATAGTAAATACGATGTGAAATGTGCAGTGCTCAAAATTTTATCATTAGCAGAAGTCTTTCTCTATACGAGAGGATTTAACTAATGACATTCTGACATTTTAATCTCAAGAGAATGGGCTTCTCAGTAATACAGAAAAAAATTCAATAACTAAAGATATTATAAAAAGACAATTGAATAAAAATAACTTTCCGGATCTTCAGTCAAATTCTTTTAAGGCTAGTGCAATATTTTATATTTCCGATAAATATTTCTTAACTTTACCGGCGGTAAATTATAGATCCTCTTTCTTTCATCAGTATTATTCATTCAAGCAAATTATTTATGTTACTGGAAAAGTAGCATCGAAATAGCTAAATGAGTTACACTAAGAGAATATACTTAACTTCATTTACCGAACTGAAGTTTAGAAGGATTAATTACATCTTTTTTTATTGGAATGCTATCAAACAGATGATGATATCACTTGTATATGCTTAATTTGATAAAATATCTTAAGTTCACTTACAAGTATCAACTAGACTGCAATTGTGCTGCGTACAAGTTACGATGTCGATAGACACTGGTTATATTAACAGAGACAGCAAGATCATTAAAAAATTGAAAAAATTTTATTCTTCTCGATGATTTATAGTAGTAATAAAGTTTTAATTATTATTTAAAAGAGAAAAGAAATTAGTATAGCTTTTATTAGATGCATGTATGTGACAAAAAATTTACTAAATAGAAGATATGGGCTCAAATTCATTTCTCAATTCTGTCAACAAGAAAAAAATGGCATCGGACAAATAGAAAAAATATATTAAAAATTTTGAAGTCCAAGACACATTTTCATCGAATTTGAACTATTGTTTAAAACAAGAACATGAAAAAATGGTCCATATTCAGTACTCAGAAAGCTATCTCTCGTTTTCAGAATAGTTCTCTAGATCATACGACTCACTTTTTGCAAAAATTATGACGAAACAAGAAAAAAAAAATTTCTGAACAAATACAAAATGTCTATCGACATAATTAAAGATGATCAGATAGTAAATATTATTTAGTTTTTATCAATTTCTTCCTTTTGTTTCGCTTATTTTCGGCGCACTATTAAATAAAACATTTTTTCGACTCTTTCTTACTTTATTCGGTATCTTTTGATGGAAGAAAATTCATGAGCACTGGTGACAGTGCATTTTACCTAGTTACCTCTCCATCTCGTTAACTGCTGCTGAGATAATCCATCTCATTATATTCATGAACTTCTTTTTTTGTCATCAATTATGAACTAGAGTGACATATAAATATAGTTTACGTAATATAAAAAATCAACAATAAATCCATCAAATTTTAATAGTGTATGAAATAAACGGTAATGTGTATCATCAATCAAAATTACTTTTTAAAGAATGAAAGAATATATATATAGTGAATATTATTTGTTTATAATAAATAACCGTAGATGTTTATCAAAGAAGATGTCAATTTTAAAGGGTATCAATTTTTTTGATCACCAAAAAAGTGACTTTTGATCACCAAATTTATTAGCAGTGAAATGATCACCAAAAAATAAGACTTTTGATCACCAAATCAATTAAAGAAGTTTTAATTAAAG